AAGAGGAGTTTAAAACAAGAAAGGGGAATAGAGAATGAGAATGGAGATGGAGTTACAAGTGATCGGGTCTGTATTTTAAAAGGATCATTCTGACTGCTGTGCTGAGAATAGACTATAAGGAGACAAGGACAGAAGCAGAGAGACCTGGTAGGAGGCCATTTCTGTAATCCAGGAGTGAGATCATGATAGATAGACCAGAATGGTAGCCATGGAACTGTGAGGAGAAGTAGTTGGGTTCTGGGTAGATTCTGAAGGTAGAGCCAGAAGGATTTGCCAGTGGATTGGATGCGGAGTAAGAGGGAGCGAGCGAGAGCAGGAAGAGCGAGCAAGCGAGAGAGTACAATTAAGGCTGACTCTGAAGGTTTTGGGCCTGAGAAACAAGAAAAATGGAATTGTTATATATTGATGTGGATGGGAAAAATGGGAAAAGAAGTTTGAGGGGTACGTCAGGAGCTCAGTTATGGAATATGAGGCTTGAAATGCTGATTGGATGTCCAGATGGAGATGCCAAGTAAGTTGGATGGATGTCTGCTATACCCAAGCCTGGGACTTGGGGAGAAGTTTAAAGTGAAGGTAAGCTGGAGATTGAGAGTTGTCAGCTTCTAGATGAGACTAAATCTCACCCATAGGACTGGATGAGATCATCAGAGCAGCAAGTGTAGATATAAAAGGAAGCTTAAAGACTGAGCCCTGCAGCTCCAGCATTTTCTGGAATGGGAAGATGAGAACGAACCAACAAGGGAGACTAGAAACAGAAACTGGAGAGGCAGAAGGAAAACCAGGGCAGTGTGATTTCAGAAGCAAATTGAAGAGGGGTTTCAGGTCCAGCTGTTTGAAATCCTGCTGATGAGTCAAGTAAAATCAAGTCTGCAGATTGACCTCGGGACTCAGCACAGTGGAGGTCATTGGTGACCTTGATAAGAGCCGTTTTGTGCGGGGCAGTGGGTTAAAGCCTGACTGGAGAATGGGAGGAGAGAGCTTGATGACAGTGAGTCTGTACCCCGAAGTTTTGCTGAGTAGGTAAGGAGTGAAATGATGTGGTGTTTGGAGGGGGCAGAGGGGGGCCAAGAGACATTTTTTTAAGCAAGAGGAAGTAACAGATGTTGGTATGCCAATGGGAATGATCTAATAGGGAGAGAAAATCTGATGGTGCAGGAGAGGTGGGAGCTTGCTGGGGTGATGGCTCGTGTAGGTGAGAGCGGATGTGCAGTGCCGAAGAGGAAAGGCTGTGTTTGGCCAGGATTATAGACATTTCACCCAGAGCCACAGGGGAGAAAACAGGGACACATGCAGGTAGGTAGGTGAGTGAAGCATGGGAGATTGTGGGCATTTCCTGTTTATTTGAATAGGTATTAGATAAAATAACTAGTGCGTCCAACCTGTCATTTCATGGACGCCATTGCAAAGCGGAGAAAAAATACTAAGTGAAAAATAGCGGGGAGGTATGCAAACGAAGCACAAATGAAGATCACACTACAGTGACTAAATGTTGGAATAGAAGAGGTCATTTTTATGTTTTTCTGGGTAAGAAATAAGGGTTTGTGCTACGGAATGGCTGCGGAGGCTGAAGGAACAGGCACGAATGAAATTCAAGAGGTAGTGCTGAGATTTGGTGATTAGCCACTGGAACTGATGAAGGCCTCTCTTTTCCAATGTGGGGCTGACAGAATGGGATTCCCAGATGCAGTGGTGGCGCACCTTCAAGAAAGAGAAGCGGGGTCTAGGGCAGAGACTTTATCCTTTTGGTTGCAGAGACAAGAGAAAGGTCTGAGGCACAGCTGGCTTCCCAGGCCTTCACCAAGAACCAGGGCCCACTGGACACAGTGGTGGGGACCTGATTCCAGTGAGGCAGATGAGGCAGGCCTTGCCCTGGGAAAGCCCCTGCCCTGGGGTGCTAAAAGCATTCAGACAGTGTGACAGGAGGGCTGATGCTGCAGGCAGTGGAAGCTTCCTGAAGAAGGTGACCTTGAAGGTCTACGGGATGGTGGCAGATGAAGAAGGGAGAGAGAGCACAGCCTGTGCAGGGGAATGGGTAGGGAGCATGTGGGGTGTGAAGGCAGGGTGGGAGGCTGGAGCCTGGAATGCTTTGGTTATGGTCAGAGTCTTTGGCTTCATCTCGATGGGCAGCACTAGGAATGTCAGTGGAGACATGTGGTGGCAAAGCTCTGAGGTTAATCTGGAAGTGGGTCTAGGCAGGGTCTGGAATGGGGCTGGCTAGGGGGAGCAGGCTTAGTTTGGGGCAGAGAGCCCCCAACTCCTGTGATTGCCCTCATCATCTTCCCCAATACCCACAGGCAGCAGGACCTGTACCGAATCCTGAAGGCCTACACGATCTACCGGCCCGATGAGGGCTACTGCCAGGCCCAGGCCCCTGTGGCCGCCGTGCTGCTCATGCATATGCCCGCGGAGGTCAGCATACCCTGGTCCTGGGAGGGGAGGGCCCGGGAGGACCTGGGCCTGCGGTGGCGATCGGGGAGCACTCTACTCGCTGTTTCTCAGGCCCCATCTCTCCCCCGCTTGCTCTTGCCCTCCTCAGCAAGCTTTCTGGTGCCTGGTGCAGATCTGTGACAAGTACCTCCCCGGCTACTACAGCGCAGGGCTGGTGAGTGTGCGAAGGCTGGGGCGCCCCAGGCTGCGGGGAGGTCCTTGTCCTGCCCATTTGTTCCTCCGCTCTGCGCCTCTCCCACTGAAGTGAGGATCCCCTCCCAGGGACAGGGCTACCCTGAGGGGGTCCCCGTAAACCCCCTCTCATGGCTTCTCCTGCCGGCAGGAGGCCATTCAGCTGGACGGAGAGATCTTTTTTGCGCTGTTACGCCGGGCCTCCCCGCTGGCACACCGGCACCTGCGGCGGCAGCGCATCGACCCTGTGCTCTACATGACTGAGTGGTTCATGTGCATCTTCGCCCGCACCCTGCCCTGGGCGTCCGTGCTGCGCGTTTGGGACATGTTCTTCTGTGAAGGTACTTCTGCACCCGTTCAGCCCACGGCGGGGCCTGGGATTTCCACAGTGGCTGCCAGAGAGGGGCGTGCTGCCGGGAGGTATGCGGGGGCCTTGGCTTCCCTGTGTGCGGTGTGGGGGCCGGAGAAACTGGGGCCCGGTCTTGGCTCTGCCATCAGCCCAAAGCCTACTCCCTCCCGGCAACCTGAAACCCAAGGCAGCTCCTTTCCCTCCGTGGGGCCTCCCATTTCCTCATCTGTGAGGACGGCAGTAAGCTGGGCATAGGGCCTGCAGGTCCCCTCTAAATGGGACGGGCTGCGATTCCAGCCCTGATCCCTTGTACTCTCTTTTTTCCGCCCTCCCAGGCGTCAAGATCATCTTCCGGGTGGCCCTGGTGCTGCTGAGGCACACACTGGGCTCAGTGGAGAAGCTGCGCTCCTGCCAGGGCATGTACGAGACCATGGAGCAGCTGCGCAACCTGCCCCAGCAGTGCATGCAGGAGGACTTCCTGGTGCACGAGGTAGGCCACGGCGGCTCAAGGCTTCTGCCTGTCCCCGCCTTCCCCTTCCCCTGCATCCCGCTACCCAGTCCTTCTCGGTCTAGGTGACCACCCTCCCAGTGACGGAAGCACTGATTGAGCGAGAGAACACGGCCCAGCTCAAGAAGTGGCGGGAAACCCGGGGGGAGCTGCAGTATCGGCCCTCTCGGCGACTACATGGCTCCCGGGCCATCCATGAGGAGCGGCGGCGACAGCAGCCACCCCTGGGCCCCTCTTCCAGCCTTCTTAGCCTCCCTGGCCTCAAGAGTCGAGGTTCCCGTGCAGCTGGGGGGGGCCCCCTCTCCACCCCCTCTTGCCCGCCGGGCCAGTGCTGGGCCTGCCCCAGGGCCTGTGGTCACCGCTGAGGGACTGCATCCATCCCTTCCTTCGCCTACTGGCAACAGCACCCCATTGGGTCCCAGCAAGGAGACTCGAAAGCAGGAGAAGGAGCGGCAGAAACAGGAAAAGGAACGTGAGAGGGAGCGGCAGAAACAGGAGAAGGAACGGGAGAGGCAGGAGAAGGAGCGCCAGAAGTGGGAAAAAGAGCAGGAGAAGGAGCAACAGAAGCAGGAGAAGGAACGACAGAAGCAGGAAAAGAAGGCCCAAGGCAGGAAGCTCTCGCTGCGTCGAAAAGCAGATGGGCCCCCGGCCCCCCAGGATGGTGGGGACAGGTCCTCGGCATCTGAGGCCCGGCAGGATGCTTACTTCTGACCTCGTCTTGGGGCTGGACTGCATGGCCTCCCTCTTCCTTAGTCAAGAGCAGGCCCGGCCTGGGGCAGCCATGAACAAGTCTGGAGCCCCTCACCTCCAGTTGGGCCCAGGTGGGGTCTCTGTCACTCCTGCCCCAATTCCCTCTGGGGTCCGTCCCAGGTGCAGTCCTGATTGGCCATTTGTCACCTCGGAGGTGACTTGGCAATGGGAATCAGCAGTTTTCAGATTCTTATACCAGTTGCTCCCCTTATCCATGAGTGGAGCTGGGTTCCTTTTTCCCTTCTTCAGCTCTGCCGGTCTCCCCCTCTTCCTGCCTGAGGGCCAAGGCTCTCCTCGCTCTACTTCTGGACATCTCTGTTGTAATTATGTACAGAGGACCTGGTGGGTCCAGGGTGGGTGTGTTCGCTCTATCTTCTGTCCTTTAGTTCTCCTTCCACAGTGTTCTTGCACTCATTTATTTAAAGGGACATGTGCTGGAACAGGAAATGTCCACCCTCTCCCCACCTGCCATCCTCCTTGCTCTCTTTCCTCTTCACCCACCTTCCTGTGTATTCTCAGGCTTCTCCTGCTTTGTCTCCACCAGGATCCCCACCTTTCGCCTTGTTTCCCCTCCAGCCCCTATCTGGGGAAGGGGTCTTCCCTTGAGCTCCAGGGGGTGGAACCCAATGTTTACATTCTCTTCTGTCTCTACTCCCACCCTGTGCGGCGCTTTGAGGAATCAGAAAAGAACCTGCTGTTGTACCTGGGCTTGTCTCCTGCTTTGTTATTTGATGATGGGGGGCAGAGTAAGGACCACACAGGGGGTGGGAAACAGTGGAGTAGGCCAGGATCTGGGTGTCTACTGAAGCAGTTGGCTGGTCTTGGCAGGTAGGTACCTCTTGGCCTTTGGTCCATCTTTCAGTCCCTCATCAACAGCTGTTGAGCTCCGGCTCCTCCTCTGCCTGGGATCTGTTGCTTCCATTGTCACTGGCCTGGGGCCTTCGACATACCACCTGCAGCACCCGGATCTCCTTCCCAAAGTGCTCGTGCAACTCCTGGAAGCTGGAGGGGGTACTGAGGGTGGCTAGGAAGCCACAGCCCTCTGGGGGTGAGCTGGGCTCTTGGCCAGCTGCCTGGCAGAGCTCCCGGTACTGGGCCTCCAGGGTAGGTAGGAGCACCACCAGCTGCCTGCAGCTCGCCCCAGCCAGCGCCCACAGCCAGGCTCCCAGCTCTTCCTGATTTTCTGCTGCCAGCTTGTAGGCCCGCCCACCTGTGCCCTCAACCCTGGGGGTCAGGATGGTAAAGGCATAGGGTTCTGTGGCTCCGAGGCGTGGCTCCACCTGGCAGTTTTCCAAGAGAATGAGGCCCAGGGGTGTGTGGTCCGCTTGGTTCTCCAGGTAGAAGAGGAGGTTTCCCCGGAGGATAAACCAGCGGCGTTGATAGCTGGTATTTCGGGCTCCCTTCTTTAGCAAGATGCCCTCCCGGTCTGGAGCCTGTGTTCTGCATCCACGGAAGAAACTGAGCACGGACTTCTGGTGCAGTTTCATGGTAATCCAATCTGAGAGTAAACCCTGGGGGCAGCAGAGAAGAGAGGTGGTCCTAGCCCAGTGAGATTTAAGACTCTGTCCTCAAGAGGTAGAGGTCTTGCCCCCACGGCACTAGGACCCACACCTCCCACCTCCAGCTCTGCCCCTTGGGCTAGTTTACAGACTGGGCAGGGGCCGCTGGCCTGGGCCCCTGTCTACCTGCGGCTGTGGTTTGAGAGAGGCACTGTTGCCCTTTTCCAGGCCTACCTGAGATCAGAGCATCAGAGACTTCTGGCCTGAATACTGGGCACAGGTATCACCGTCACCTTTCCGGTGACTTCCCACCTCGGAAGGCAGGAACTAGCCCAGGGGATAGGCGTGGGGTAAATGACTTCCCCTGGGTCCTAAAGAGAGCGGAGTTCCGTAAATGCCCCCAGAGCCATCCGGGGCCGCCTCAGGGAGAAGAGCAAGGCCGAACCTAGGAGTGGGAGTGGACAGAACTGGACCCTGAGAAGAAAGGCAGGATTCCCAAAGAGATGGTGAGGGGCGCAAAGCTCTTGGCCAACCCTGGGGAAGGGTGACTCAACCCTGGAAAGGGAAACAGGCCGAAACCCACTGTCCCATTTTGGTCCTCCAATCATGGTCCTGGGCGCCCCTTTAAGCAGAGTGCGCCCCCACTTTCTCCCCAGAGCCTCTAACTGCTGTAGGAGGGAGTTGAAACCGCATCCGGCCATCCCTCTCGTCTGATCAGGGTCTAGGCGTTCATACGTCCCCCGTCCTCGCCATTGTCGCCCCATGCTGCTCACGTCACTCTGGGGAGGGCGGAGTGGTCTTCCCCGCTCAGGGCACACTTCCGCCCGTTTCTCCACGAGTCCTCTACCCTGGGTGAAGCCACTTCCGGCTTCCTCAGGCGCCTTCGCAGTTCTCTTCCGGGTGATGGCGGCAGGTGCCCCGGACGTATCCCTGGTGAAAGCCTCTCTCTTTTTCTTTCCCTTCCGCCTCCCATGGATCCTTAGGTGAGCGCGCGCCGGTGGGGCTCCTCGAATCCCCACAATTCTGCCGCCCCTTTGATTTTGTATGGTTAGCCTCGGGCAGTTGGGGGTTACCCCGCGGAGTTGGGAGTTCGGCGCGGGGAGGAGGGGGGGCGGCCCGGATGCCAGGTCCTGGGTCCGCCCGGGCCCCGCGGGCTCTGAGGGAGCTGGAGGTGTAGGAGCGGGTGTCGGCCCGCAGAGCCCCGTCGCACTCAGGACTGCGAGGGCTAAGGATGGGGGGTGCAGGTGGGGGGAGCCTCTCTCCTTTCGTCAAGGGCGGGGGTTGCCCGTGGGAAGCCGCTCCGCGCGTCAGCCTCTCTGGCCAGTCTCCAGCAACCCTATTGGACCAAACCAAGTCCCGGGGGCCTCCGGGCTCCCAACTTCTCTTTCGGTCCCTGATTCTGGGCTCCCTCTCCTCCCAAGCTGGATCTAATGCGTACCAGGTGATTATTTTTTGTGCTGGGGGCCCTTCGGTGGTGAGCAGCCTCTCCCAGTTCCCTTAATCTGCACCCTTTCACCTCGGCTCAGCTTGGGGAAGGCCCCTCTGTGCAGTCATGCCAAAGAGGAAAGTGACCTTCCAAGGCGTCGGAGATGAGGATGATGACGATGAAATCAGTGTCCCCAAGAAGAAGGTGAGGGGGCCAGGCTCCTGCAACGTGGGGAGGAGTGAGGAGAGGGAAAAGGAACTAGAAGCTAGAAGAGAGAAGGGGACAAAGAACACATAGAAAGGGCTGGCTTTTCCATTGTTCTCTGGGAAATGGGTTTGGAGAATTTTCAGTTTGAGGCTTTGAAGAAAAACCCACCTAGAGTATTTTGGGGAAAGCCAGTAATCTTTCTCTCTCTACTCGCTGGCCCCTCCTCACAGCTGGTGGATCCTGTGACTGGGGCAGGGGGTCCTGGGAGCCGCTTCAAAGACAAGCATTCTTTGGACAGCGATGAGGAGGATGATGACGATGAGGGGCCCAGCAAATATGACATCCTGGCTTCAGAGGATGTGGAGGGTGAGCTAAACCCAACAGTTGATGCCGCCGGAGGAACAGATAGGGCTTCAGGGGGTGTGGGGCAGGGAAGGCTTTTTTGTCTTTTTGCTTGCTCAGTGTGGGACACCTGTGTCTTCGGTGCAGGTCAGGAAGCAGCCACACTCCCCAGTGAGGGAGGTGTGCGGATCACACCCTTCAACCTGCAGGAAGAGATGGAGGAAGGCCACTTTGATGCCGATGGCAACTACTTCCTGAACCGGGATGCTCAGATCCGAGACAGCTGGCTGGACAACATTGACTGGGTGTGGCCCAGGGGTTGACATGGCTGGGGGTCTGGAGGCAGAAAGTGCTGGGCTTAGGCCCTGCTCACGGTTTGTTGGAGATAACACCCCCCCCTCCTGTTAACATATCCTAGGTGAGGATCAGGGAGCGGCCACCTGATCAGCACCCACCGTCAGACTCAGAAGAGGAAGACGGCCTGGGCCAGACACCAATGAGCGCCCAGGCTCTCCTGGAGGGCCTTCTGGAGCTGCTGTTGCCAAGAGAGACAGTGGCTGGAGCACTGAGGCGTCTGGGGGCCCGAGGAGGAGGAGGAGGCAAAGGGGGCAGCAAGGGGGCTGGGCGGCCTAGTTCCCCCCAGCGCTTGGATCGGCTCTCTGGGTTGGCTGACCAGATGGTGGCCCGGGGCAACCTTGGTGTATATCAGGAGACAAGGGAACGGTTAGCCATGCGGCTGAAGGGGTTGGGGTCCCGGACTCAGGGACCCCCTGAGCCCACACCCCCACCCTCTCTGGACATGTTTGCTGACGAAGTGGCAGAGGGGGAGCTAGAGACTCCAACTCCTACCCAGAAGGGAGGTAAGATTGAAAGGTGGAGGAGGGGTAATGGGGGCAGGGAGCAGGGCACCTGAGGCTCAGATGGCCCTGCCTGTTATTTTAGAAGCAGAGTTGCCAGGAGATGGTCTGGTGGACGTCATGTGGGAATATAAATGGGAGAACACGGGGGATGCTGAGCTGTACGGACCCTTCACCAGCACCCAGATGCAGGTAAGCCCCTTCCTACTTCCTTCTGCCGCTGCTCCCTCCCCCAGCCCCCGCCACCCGTATCAGGCCTTTCTCAGCTCTGCTCTCCTTTCCTGCAGACCTGGGTGAACGAAGGCTACTTCGCAGATGGTGTTTATTGCCGGAAGCTGGACCCTCCCGGTGGACAGTTCTACAACTCCAAACGCATTGACTTTGACCTCTATACCTGAGCTGGCCAAGGGCCCAGTTTGGTGTCCCCTTCTTTCCTGGACTCTCTGGAGGAGGCCCTAGCTGCCTGAGGCAGTGAAGATTTGGGGGCCACTTTTCAGTCAATTTTCCTTTTCCAATAAAAGCCTTTAGTCGTACATTAGGGCCTTGGCTGTGCTGATGACCAGAAGCCAAGGCCCTTCGCAGCCCCTTTGGACCCGCCTCATGACTGTTTCCTAAGTTCCTTCTTGGGAGTTTATGGTCACTTGAACCACCTCACCTTTGTTTACCACTTCTGGGGCAGAGTGAACTCTGCTCACCATGGAAAAAATCCCTTTGTTCACATGCTGTTTTCCAGTATTTTCGGAGCAGGCTTCCTTTTTTGCTGGTCTTCGGCCTTCGGCTTTTAGAACCCCAGAGTCTGTCTTTGCAGCCAGTATAAGGTAGAGCACCAGAAGTGAAGATTTTAGGCCTCCAAGGGCTAGGACATTTGTCGGGGATGAGTAGGAAGCCTGGTACACACTGGCCCCCCAGGGGTCTCAAGCTCCTTAGGGGAAGGGCAAACTCAGGGCCACCTGGGCCAACAATTGATCAAACACAAAAAAGACCAGTGCCTCCTTGGAGCTCAGAGCAAAGCAGGGGGCTGGCCCAGACCCACTGGGCTTCTTTCCCAGACCTTTCGTGGCACTTTTGAGGCCCTGAAGCTTCCATTTCCTGGGGTCCCACAAGTGTGCCTGGTATGGGGCTAGTGCCTTGAGGAAACTGAGCTAACTAGGGGGCTGATCCCCTTCAGGAATTGAGATTCCGGGGTGTGGGGTCGGGAGGGAGACAAGCAGGTGTAATTGGACCCAACACCCCAGCCTCTCACCAGTGCTGTCTTGTGCCTCTTCTCGCACCAGGTGAGGTTGAACCTTCCCTGTTCATTGGTCTCGGGGGAGCTGTAAGATTACTCCTCAGATTCTAAATGAATCGGTCTAGGTAGTGGCTTGGTGGTCGGGGCTTTTGAAAGCTCCCAGGGGATTCCAGTGTGCAGACAGGTGGAGAAGCACCAGACACCCTTGCCTCCCTTCACCTAGAACAAGGAAGGGGCAGCTTCCTGGATCCTGCGGTGGTGGCAGAGCTGAGCACGTCTGGCCAGGCCGCTGCTGGCATCTGGCGCAGGCTTGCTGAGCACCAGAGCCCCAGGTGGAAGGGGCCAGGCTGGGAAGCAGGAAGACGAGGACGGGCTGGGGATACTCGGGGCTCGAGTGAGGGCTCCAGCTTCTGTAATAACGGGGTCTGCGCTAGTGCTGGCCCAGACTTGGTGTTCATTGACTCTAAGATGCCTTCGCCTGTAGTAAGTCTTTCTCTGTCTTTAAGAAATAAACCCCTACCGGTTACTTTTATAAGATGTCATTGATTTAAAGGTGCGTCTTGATTTCAGAAACGTTCAGAAGTGAAAAGCAAAACACTGGTCTCCTTTATAACCCCAGTGACTGACTTGCGGGAGGTGCTTAGTGTTTGGTGAAGAGATGAAGGCCAAGGGCATGGTGCTCTTGGACAGACCACTGGCACCTCAGGCTCCGCCTATCCAGAGCTCACCCTGTCTTCTCACAGTGTTCACTGTTGGTTTGAGGGGTTGATTTTTTTGTTTTGTTCTGGTTTTTTTTGTTTTTGAGAGAGCCAGCTGGGCCGGGAGGGGTAAAGTGGAGGAGAGAGAGAATCTAAAGCAGGCTCCATGCCCAGTGCAAAACCTGATGCAGAGCCCGACATGGAACTTGACCTCAGCACCCTGAGCTCATGACCTGAGCAGAAATGAAGATTCAGACGCTTAACCCACTGAGCCACCCAGGATGCCCCAACCTCCTGGATGATGCTGAGTGTAGACAGAACAGTGGTCCCCCAAAGATGTCCATATCCTCAAGAGAATCTGAATATGGGAACTTCTGTGGCAAAAGAGACTTTGTAGGTGCTTAAATCAGTGACTGAGTTGGGGGACGGGTTACTCTGGATTATTGAGGTGGATGGGCCCAGTGTCATCACAAGGGTCCTACAAAGCGAAAGAGTTGGGAGGGTCGAAGAGGGAGGTGAAGGCGTTAAACAGAGCTGCTGGATTTGAAGATGGAAGACTGGGCCATATGCCAAGGAATGTGTGTCCATGGAAGCTGGCAAAGGCATGAAAAGTCTCCCCAGATCCATCACAAAAGGCAGCCCTCCTGTGGGTCTGAACCTGGTGGAAACCACTGTGGACTTCTGACCTCTAGAATCCTAATAAAATTTGTCTTTCAAGCCACTGAATTTGTGCTTGTTACAGCCGTAGTCGGAAACTACATTCCCCATCTAGCTGAATGCCCCTCCCCTCCCACGAACATCGCTAAGTTTTCTCTCCCTGTGGCCTTGTCCCTGTTTCAAGCCCTTATCCACGCTTAACTCCCTTGCCCTTCTTTTTTTTAAGATTTTATTTATTTATTTGACAGAGAGAGATCACAAGTAGGCAGAGAAAGAGGGAGAAGCAGGCTCCCAGCTGAGCAGAGAGCCTGATGCGGGGCTCGATCCCAGGACCCTGAA